TTGGCATCAGCAACAAAAGAGGGTGGCAAAGAGCCCTGAGTCCACATAACACCCCAAACCCAGCAAGGATACCATTTAATAATCAGAAGGGTATAAAACTGGGGTCCTAAGTCAGCCAAGTCACCCAGTAGCTAAGCCCCACTGCTCGTTGAGCAGACAGATAGGGTGGCAAGAGCCTGAAGCCCACCTAACACTCAAACCCCAGCAGGGAAGAGGCGTTCACAATCAGGAGGGAATCAATGAATGTGCTCTGCTAGTCAGCTTTTAACAAGTTTCCTGCCTCTTTGCAAACAGTTGACAAACAAAAGCATGTGGAGCTCAGCTGAGCATATATATAATGGGAGCTCTGTTATTAGCTGACAGTAGTGCTTGTTAAACTTTGGAGGGCTCCTATTGGTGTTTCAAAGGCTGGAGAATTCTGCCCCCCTTTTGTCTTGGAGTTCTGTAAACAGTTTAATTGAGAAGAGAAAGGCCTATAGTGACATACTGCAAAATTTACATAGCATGATTTTTGTGACTGCTAACACTATGTAAGTCCATACAGTGTGGCAGAAAATATTTATTAATTTAGTCCAACTTTAAATAAAATCCTGAAGGACTCTTCAAGTCGACACTTATTAGTAAATGCTAGAGATTGTATATTTTTCTTTGACAGTAATGAGATTATGTTACAGATCAGACTTAAGGCCTTCTGCATCATTATATGATGCGCAATTGCAGTTCTGTACTGTAATGGTAAGTGATCACCTGTAATTAAAATTTCTCCTTACTAAGATATTTAAATACATTGGATATTTGTACTCTCCAGCCTTGACTATAACTTCTGTGTGTATAAAAAGGTCATACGTATCTGACTTATGAAAATAAAATTTATCAGAGCTACTGATGAAGTAATTCACTTTTCACAGTAAAAAGCATGTGAATGTTACTAATTCACCTAAGCTTGTCTAAATAATGTTACATTATAATGCAAGACTCTCACCTGGAACACTTAATACTAAACAGAGTTACACCCTTCTAAGAACAATGAAAAATGCAAGACTCTCACCTGGAACACTTAAATACTAAAAAGAGTTACATCCTTCTAAGAACAATGAACTCAATTGCACTGTCAGTCTCTAGTTTCTCATATGTTTCTCATATGATTACGTTAAAATGTGAGAGTCTACACTGGTATATGAAAGGCTACATGTACTTCATATTAAGTGAGTAGTGCTGTGATTCCAGAGTTCAGAGACTGTTGGATTACTAGGAAAGATAATGGTTTTATATGGCCCGAAGAGCCAGACTTGATACATATTTTACACATTTTCTGAGCACCAGTGCCCTACTTTCAGTTGTCATGTTTCCTTAAGAATGCCTTCATATAATATTCTCAAACAACAATTGCTTTCTTCCATCAGTAAAATACTTTACTTTTGTCCATATGGTCAACTCAGTGGTCAAGAGAGCAATGCAGAAGGATTTATTCGTTCAATTTATTTGTTGAAGTAGCTACGGTATTTGAGTCTGAAATTATAACATGGAATATGAAGCAGCAGACACTGGAAGCAATAAAGAAAGAAGCAGGGAAACAGGGTTGTATTGGCCTATTCATAGTCATAGACTTCTAATCTATCATTGTATTGAACAAAAAGAGTCTACAGTTACTGGCAGAATAGCCAAAATGACTGTGGTAGAATTTGTCTTGTATTTATAATCTGCAGTGCTTTGTCTATTTTGTTTGCAAGATAAACCATACTGTCCTTTCCAAGAAGCAGTAATAGTTTATGGTGTTTAAAAAATGAGGTCCAAGTCACTTCATTCACAACCCATTGACATGAGAACCATTTTTGTCTACAGTGTCACTGTGTATGTAGAGAGTTATAATACATGGGCTATTAAAAGGGTATTCCATAAATGGTTCCTGTTATGATACTATTATATCCCACAATTTATGAATTATTGACAGGAGAGATAATAATGGATGGATGCTGCTGCAGTTTCTGACAACAATCTCAAACAGAATCCTTAATCCATGAAAAATATACCCAATGGAGCAACACATCTCCTAGAGCAGTTCCAATATAAAGTAGTGGGAAGAGTAAAGATTTCTGTCATTCTCCTAATCCGTTAATTAACTGGACACCAAGCTTCATAGAAGAGTAAATAAAATACTATATAAGACACTGTCTTTTTAATGTTTTCTGCCTAAAATTATTAATGACAGATTTCAAGTGAATTAAATTGATCTGAATTTACCACTGAGTCACAGGGCTGATAGAAATTTTTGACTTTCTGATTCTAGGTGGTTCAGTATTCTTAAGCCTTGTAGGTGCTTGTTACTGAACTGTCCATGTTTTAAAAATATCAGATACTAACAGCACCAACTACTCCACAGCAAAATATTGTAGTCATTTGAGGACCCAATGCTAAAGTCGTCCATCTATTGGCTCTGGCCTTCTCCTCTTCAAGACAACACATTATCTTTTCTTTCCTTTACTTGTTGATGATGTATTGATAGTCATATTGTGTGAGGCTGCACTGAGAGTGAAGAGCACACTTGATCCTCCTCTTCTGTTTCCTCTTTAGGCAGAAGATACCAGGGGAGGGGGAGATATCTTGCCCAGCATGCTATGCTCACAGCTCATCTTGGACTAAGCTGCAGCTTCACTGGTTCCACTGTACTGCATCTAGAGCATCCTAAAGAGTGCCATATTTGCAGCTGCCCTTATGGCATGCTGTGGTGCTTGCAAAAGGCTCACCAGGAGTTTCAGCACTGAGGGAAGGAGCAGATCAGCAGTAATGAGCAGTGACTAGATGCCGGGGGGGGGGGAGGGGGAGAGTATCATGCCTGGTAAGCCATGCTTGCAGCTTGCCTCAGGGTAGCTTGCCTGCTGCCCAGCCAGTCTCACTGTTTGTGATAGGTTTGCAGCCATTTTCACAGCAAGCAGCAGTGCCTGCAAAATGCCCAGCTTCTAACTGCCCTCATTATGAGTTTCAGTGCTGAGCATGAGAGTGCACCAGTGGCGGTGAGCCACCCAGGCAGCGGGTCTTCTTTTCTCCTTTCCATAGCAACTGGACTTATAGGACTTCTGTTCCTAGACATTACTGTGCATCAGGCCCACCACCACCACCGGGACTCTTGTAGTTGCACGCTTCAAAAAGACCCTCTTACTGAGGTCCCACAGACCTGGATAAAATGATACAGCTTGATACCAAAACAGGGGCCCACAAATTTCTCTGGATGCTCTCACAGGGGAGCAGCTCACCAACTGGGATACTCCAGAAAGCACATAAAATAAAAGCATATTGTCCTCAGTCTCCAGAACTCCCCTCCTCACTCAGCCTAACCAGACAATTTAATCTGGAACCTAGGGAAAGCTGCTACTCAGACTTTGTTAGAATAGATGAAGTTCTTCTGCCACTCTGGTATCTCAATCACCCCATTTGAAAACTCTGTTACCATTCCTCCAAATTAAGTACCCCTCCCTCGTGACCTAATTCCACTGTGAATCCCAATCTCATCCTAGTCCCTAGTCTCTATAAGGTGAGCTCATTGACTCCTTTCAACTTCATAGTTGGTTTTACTCCCTGAACTTTCTTCCACTGAAAATACTGGATTCCAGCCCTGTAACTGGTTTTGTACTCAAGCCTCCTTTTCCAACTTTGCATTTCGCTTGCTTCGAGGGTTGCCAAATGGCACTTACCCTTGCGGTGGGGGACTCCAGCCTGGCTCCAGGCGTGTTTTCCCCTCTATGTTTTCCCCTCAAATGACGTCACTTCCCTGTGACATGCATGCGGGGGTGGGGTTTCCCCAGGGCCCGATTCCGCCGTGGCAGAAATTGGGCCTCCAAAGTGGGGGTTTCCCCACCCCCTGGCCCGATTGGCAGCCCTACTTGCTTCCAGAATTTCCCCCTTTTGCTGAATCTCTGAATCCCTCATTTTGGATCCCCAGCTTCCTTTCAGTTTCACTTTGGATCTTTCCTTTGCCTCAGACCAGCTTCTTTTCACCCTTTGTTTCCCATTAGATTCCCCATTCACACCAGTAAGGTACAGCCAAGGGTATTATTGCTAGGACTGAGTTACTGTATTGCAATGCTGTTTCATATTTTTGCTCTCTCTTGCATTTCATATTTCTAGCCTTGCATCTTGTTAAAGGAATAAATATTCTGTTTTTTTTAGGTTCTCTATTTGCAATGCTGTTTCATATTTTTGCTCTCCCTTGCATTTCATATTTCTAGGCTTGCATCTTGTTAAAGGAATAAATATTATCTGTTTTTTTTAGGTTCTCTGTCTAAATTTTTCCTTCCTAATTACAGTGCTGTGTTAAACTGGGACCCAGATCCCAGGGATCAAACCATTCAATCACAAAATAATAACCACAGTGACACAGTCCACATGTATAGAGGATGCTTTGCATGTTAGGGGTTCGACACAGGTATTGATTTGGGTAACAGCATAGTTCTAGCCATGACAGGTGCTGGTTAACCAAGGTGCATGGATAAAAAAGTGCTAAATAACACAGCTTTTACTATTATTGCACACTAACCATATTGTCAATTGAAACATTTATTTTTCTTCACTTCAGCCTTTATCTCTCATGAAGTTTTTCTGACTACTGTTTTTTTACCTAATCATTCTCAATGCCCTTACATCTCAAGAACTGGGCCGAGAAACTGTAATAAAGAAAAGAAACTCCATTTATAGAGTTGATATGCTTTTTACAGGAAAATGTTCCCCCAAAAGCACTTATTCACCCCACTTACCCAAATGGAACTCATTCACAATTGTCCCCTGCTTTAATAGAACTTTGGTTCTGTAAGCTGTAACCTAAGAAGTATCTGAAATTCAGAATTCCACACAGACATGAATGCTTCAGTCCTAAACATGCTTGCATACTTTGGAAGAAAGTTCTGTTGAACTCAGTGGGGCCTACTTTTTATTAAAGTAGCCCTGTTAATAAAACACTGAATAGTCAATGAATCAACTTTGAAGTATTAGAAATTTGCACAAATTACCTCATATTCTTGGGAAAACTTCAAATTGTCATTAGCTTTCAGCCTTTCAATATGATCTGCAAGTTCCAAAATAGGTATTGGTGGATGGCTAGCCATACCTGTTAAAGAACAGAGAAATGAAAGAATTTAAAAATGATGACAGAGGGCACCTGAATCCCAGACTTAGAAAAGACAGCAGTTAGAATGGCTAGAAATGTGTAAATAGTAAAGATGTCATAAGGTGAAAGAAGCAGGCAGATAGTTTAGTCACTCAAAGCAAGACATGCTCTGGAGAGATGAGCTTTGAAGCCAAATTTCCAAAACATTAAAAATAAAAATAAAAATCACCAAGCATATTTCCAAAGCTAACATTCCTAGTGTAAAAGAAAAAAAAGTTATTATGCCAAGACTTAATGAGGTTAGCTAGGTGGGGAAAAATGATACAGTTAGACCTCATGTTGACCTTTGCTTTGGCTAATGACTCTTAATGTCATATCAACCCCCTTTTCCTGTGCTGTATGAAATGGAAACTGTGCTGGAATTAGGTGAACAAATGGTGCTGGGGAAGAAGCCATTTAAAGAAATCTAAAGAGTAAATAATAGTATTGACATAAAATAAAGTGAGTGAGGGAAACTAACTTGAAGAATGAAGGTTACCAGAGAAACTTGAACCTGCAAAAGGAAATGGCAAGAATAAATAAAAAAGAATGAAGAAAAGAGGGGAAAAACTATATGCAAATTAAAACAAAAAATGAAAAGCTTAGAAAGTGGTAAGTATATTTTGAGTGCTGGGGAAATGGCTAATATGAGTTTTCTAAATAAGATGAGGGAGGCAACCTAATGATTCTTTTAATATTTTACAAAGTTCAGGACATTCACATGCAATATGGATTGCCAGAGTAACATGCACACTGCTTACAGACAACAGTCAATAAAGACAAGATTAGACATCAGACATTTTGAGCTTCAAAAATGTTTTCACTAGTAGCAGATTGTAGAGGCAGGGGTTGTACAGAGTCAATTCAGCTGAACAACAACCTCTGGCTTATCCTAGTACCTCTGAAGAGATCACAACCCCAGTCCCTTTATCAACCCCCAGAAATTACCTACAATCTACTTCAGGTGTAAACATCTTTGTCTACCAATGGAAAAATAGTGAATACAGACAAGGCTTAAAGAAGGGATGGGAAAGATATAGGGGAAAGGACAGGGCAAAGGAGAAGGAGAGATATAAGGAAAAAGAAAAGGAGAGAGAAGATGTGGGGTCAACTAGCATGACCTGCCAGCTGCAGGTTTTAGCAAGCCCACTCTTGAGGGATATTGTTAATCAATCAATATGGATGGGTTTCTACCCACCCAAAAGGTTTTCCACTTATTTTTTATGTGCATGCCTAGAATAAACACAGAAATAGCTGGAAATTTTTGAACTAGTGAACCCCATGATGTGTTGAAATTCTAAAACAAAACCATGATTAAAAGGAAGGAGTGGGGGGCTCAAACTGGAAGCCACATTTTTCCACTGTGCAGGTTATTTTACCACCATGAATTTGAAGGGCATGTTTTCAGAAAGCTAGCTTGCAATTTGCTGCAGCACAGCTTCACATGACCTGGAAATGACAATATGATTCATTCATCAAATGCTTTTGCTACATTTTTACCTAGCTTGAAAAAGTCCATACGGAAGGACCAGCAGCATATCATTCAAATCTTGTTTATGGCAGAAAAAATACTATTGTGCACTATTGTGTAGCCAAAGTAATTACATACACAATAGTCTTTTGATTGTGTAGTCTACAAATTTATATTGTAAGACCTAGTGAACCAGAGAAAGCATACAGATATTGTGGAAACTATTTCTTGCAAGGAAAAGTTATTCAAGCTAGTAATATTTGTTACTTGAAATATTTTTTGTCTCCCACTTGATCACATGCAACATTTAAGCTGAGTGATCTTTTCTTTAAAAAAATTGTTACCAGAAACCAAATTTATCTGATCCAGATCGAGCACCCCAGTGAAATCTATAAAGTAAATAAAGCACAAGAATGCTAGGCGTATTCAGAAATGGAAGTTGAATGATGGAACATCTAAAACAGTGACTGAACAGAGAAAATAATAGAGACAAAGATGTTTAGACCTTTTCGAGCGAATCGTGGGAGAGAGTTATTATCATATAAGGACTGAGTGGTAGTTTGGCTAGAGAGGGAAGACACAGAGCCAATCAGGGAGGCGTAGGGGACTGAATTACTGCTCAAAGCTGTAAAAAGTAAAGCCAATTGGAAATGGGAAACAAATTAGTAAGCAGTAGAAGACCATCATAATCAGTCAGTTACACAAAGACAAATGTATAATATTGCATGCACAATCTTTCTTTGCACTCAGTATGGGAAGAATAGGTTGGAATATGCAACCATCCTAATATACCAACATTAGAGAGCCATACAGCCAAATGAATCTTGCTAAATTCATGGGCCATGACACTGTAGGATAGGATCTTAATGTGACAGCCATATGACTGGAATTTAATTATTATTTAAAACATAAGAGTTGGTCCAGGGACTCACTTTGGGGAGTACTTCTCGGAAGAAAACTTTGTCCATCTCTGGAACCCTCCCCACTGAGAGCTCCCATCATGTAGAAGTTATCAACAATAATTATGCCTTTTTGAAAGCAAGCATTAATTCACTGTGGGTTTAGCTGGTCTTATTAACAGATCCCTACTTGGAGAAGTATCCAATCCAAGAGTTAGTGTAGTTTTGCATCATGTATTTTTATCAACATCCATCTGAGGTTAAACATCTGAGGTTTATCTAAAGATGGCATAAAATCTTTTGGATTTATTTATTAGCAGAAGAAATTCAAAGAAAACATCTAGAAGTCACCATCTGGTTAATATTGCAGTAGCATTCTTATTTATGATGGAGCGCCTTTCAATAAAGCTTCAAGTACTCTAATAAAAGGAAATAACTATAATTGTACACTTTTATGCCCATCAGATAATCTTCCATTTAAAGTCTTATCTATGGATTATTTGAGAAACACAGTATCCACAGATAAATAGTATTGTTTATATGTACCAATTTTTAATTTTTAAAATTATGGTACATTTTAAGAATAAGTAATGTTCCTCAGGGTATGCAGAGGGTCCTGACTAACCATCACATCAAACTAACTCGAAATTTGAAAGTAAAACATTCTGCAGAAGGCATCATGCTATTTCATCTCAAAATATTATGCCAAATAGTGAGAAAGTTAATTTTATGGATCTCCAATGCAGAACGCAAACTTTTTCTGATACATATTCACATCATTTAGGTATGCTAGGAAAATGTATTAACAAACACATATAGACAGAGTAGATGGGAAGCCTTCCTACATGCTAGTAATTCATAAGGAACAACATGCTAATGACTACTCTTTTTCCTCCATTGTATCAAAAAAGGGGGAAAAAGAAATTACACATAGAAATGTAAGGCACAACTAACTCAAGTCAAAGAGCAACAAGAACATGCATGTTTGTCTCAAATTTCATCGGCAACCAGCCCTTGAGTTTAAGTATAATGAGGAGAGTTCACAAAAGAACTGTACTATTTATTTCCATAAAAACTAAACATTGCCTCACGGTTTTTTGTAAAGAGTGTAGGAATTGGTATTATTAACATAAAAAGAAACTATGCTACATGCAATAATGTAAAGGCACAACAGTGAGAGCCGGTAAAATTCATGCTACCAGTGAAAGAGATAACACACCTTCACTGTAAGTGCAGTTAAATGTTCACATTTGCTCAGCTACCACAGTACAATCCTGTACAGTTACTCAAGTCTAAACCTATTGAAATTATAGCGTGTAGACTGGAGTAGCTTTGCACAGAGCTGCGTTATAACTTGATATCATAAGAACACATCAAATACAGATTAATTGCTGAGTCACACTTCACAGATGTAAGTACAGACCAGCATCTCTTGGTGAACACCATGCCATATGAATAGAGGAACGAAGATACAGGGATAGACAAGGAAAGCCAATATTCATTTCCACTGCCTGCTATTTATCTGCCAAGAGTTTACAGACTTCACACTTCAAAATGCCAGCGATTACTGCTTTTACTGGTGTAGAGAAGCGGGTTAGGACACATTGGACCACAACTTGGAAGGCAGCACTGCATATGAACATGAACCTGGAAAACTCATTTCCAATTCTGGATTGTTAAAATGGAATTAAATGAATCTTTCTCCTCATTTTATCTTTGTGGAGACATCTCTGCTTAACAGATTCAAGTGACTCAAAGTGACTGTAGTTGAGATTTCCTTACTTCCATCAATTTGAAGCAACCTTGTGTGTTTAATATAGTTCATGCAGTTAGTTTCAAATGTGCTCAAAATGTGAATGCTCCTTGCTTATAATCCTCTCATAAATGTATCAAAGTCTAAATTTTAGAACTAAATTAATAAAAATAAAACAAAACAGAAAAAGTCAGGACATCAATTTTCATACAGGAAACACATTAAGGTAAGTTTCCACTTGTGATCACTGGTAGCCAGACACTTATCCAGTGGTTCTCATTTTTTTTGGCACAATTTAGAACACATCCATCAATTTGAGCTACAATAAGATACTACCACAAGGATTAGAAATTTATAACATTTACATTATTTCTGTCTGAAACATGGAAAAGTATGAATAATTTGAACAGGATGGATACAGCAGATTACGTGCCCAAATGTCATATTCTTATGCTACAGACAAATTTTTGAGCTTCAGGAATATAGATTTAATACCCTAATTACATTGTTGTCAGATCCATAGCTATGGTGGGGCCTCTTGGGAACCGCCCCCTGACTTCCTCCCAAGGCCCCCTGACCTTTGGGAAGAAGAGGGGGGAAGGGCACAAGCACCTGCACTCCAAGCTATGAACTTGCAGCTAGAAGTGCAGGCACGTGGTCCCCACTTCTCCCCCAAAGCATTTAAAGGGTTCCTTTAAATGCTTTGGGGGAGAAGCGGGGCTGCACACAAATTTCAGTGCCTCCTGACTTTTTAAAAGGCCCCCCAAATTAAAAAGTCCTGACTATGAGCCTGATTGTTGTGCATCTTGACTACATTCCCTGGCCAACCACAGGAAAC